GCTCTAAGTCTCCACCAGGGCTGCCCCGGGATGAAGCCAACTTGAAAGAATGTCAGAGGTGGGGCAAGCGAATAGACTCTTTGAGCACCTGATCCATCTGAGGCCACTGACCACCAAACAGGAAGAGAGGTGGGGGACTGGAGGCCAGCCTCGGGAAAGCCAGGTCACACCACTCCCTGCCGTGATATGTCTGTCCATTTGAATTTCCTGTGTGAGTGACATCCGTGTAGACGGAGTGCTTCCAGTACCCACCCACCCCCATGCCCTGGTGAGCCTCTGCGCTGGTCCTGGGATAGAAGCTAGGAATCCTGGTACCCCAGGCTCTGTCCCTTGACTCATACAGCCTCATCATCTGGCCTCAGAATCGCCAGGTCTGATCTCACCATGCTCTGTGCCTCTGGATGCCTTGGTCACTCCTCGCTTGATTGTGCACGATTTTATTCCCTAAACTGACCCAGCCCCAACTCCCCAGCCTCTGAAGTCCTTGTCCTGGTGCTCTCTGGAATGCATGTTTTCTTTGTGTCCCTAAGGCTCCCCTGGCCCCTTGCTAATGCTAACTATCTGCAGGCCATGCCCCAGCCTCCTCCCCAACTCCCCAGCCTCTGAGACTCACTCACTCAGCTCCTCGCTCTCTCTAGCTCCCCTCACACCCTCACTCTCTGAAGAACATAGCTCTAACCTGCTGTCTTCTCCTCCTGGGGCATCTTATAATTGTTCTAGGAGATTCCAAATCCACTGGACAGTCCCTCCAGGGACTGGCCCTGGCCACCTCACTCCCAAGAACCTGAACCCGGTCTGTAGGGGTGTTTGCTTTCGTAGTGGCTGAATGTTGAAATCCTGCTGTGCCTCTGTGCTAATCAGTCCCGATAACTGGAGGAAGGTGGGCTGGTAGAGGGACCCCCAGGATAGGGCAGGCAGAGAGGAGGGAGGGCTGGGTGACACCATCTCCCCCCCCCCTCCCAAAGATGGGCCAGGGACTGTATTCTATATACCAGCCCTCAGTTCTGCAGGCTCTGAAGCCCCTCCAGTCCCTTGTGGCCCCAAGAGGTAGTGGGCATGGCTGGCAGTGCCTGCCTGTGCTCCCATAGCTGAACTCCCCTCCCCCACACACTGCTCCCCATGGCGCTGGTGCCATCACCCCGTCCTGGTTTTACAGAACCATAGATAAGGAAGGAATCCACACGGACTGTGACCAAGCACTCTTCTTCCGACCGGGAGGCCGGGAAGCATCTGCCGAGGTTTCTTGTGTCAAAGCGCGGCTAGACAGGGCCATCATTTAGTCCGCGGCAGCCTCATCAACCAAAGATCACACCAATAATTTCTAAAAACCAACCAATTATTTGGGGCCCATTAGCATAATTTGATGTATCGCCCGTACATCAACTTTTCACTGGGTAGGCAGTTTCCTAACACACACTTGGCATGTAGGGAAACTAAAAAGGATGCAATTGTCTTGTCTCAAGGATTCCCTTGTACAGTCTTTCCTGCTGCCCTGTACGTTCAGTGGTACCCACTCCTACCCTGAGACACCTTAACCTTGGCACGACTAGTCACCCCAGCTGTCCACACTCTGCCTGTTGCATCCTATTCTCTGACTACCATGCCTCACCTTCTAGATCCTTCCCCTGAGCCCAACAAGTACTTTACCCAACCCCCATCTACCCAAGGCTTCCCAGCTCCCAATGAAATCACGTACACATGCACACATGCTGAGAGGGAGGGGGCAGTGCCGGGAGGGGGGTGGTTCAGCATCTAGCTTGTCCCTAGGTTGCCTAGTACCTTCAGGAGCTCAGCTCCATACACACACACACACACACACACACACACACACACACACACTTAAACTCATCTCAAAAAATCTATTCCTGGTCAAAACAGCTCCACCAACTGTATCCCATCTGCAACCCTGAATGGTGCCAGAGATCAAAGAACCTCAAAAGCAACCTTTGTAGGCCAGGTCACACACATACATAGCCTGATCCATCCCTCTCCTAGCTCCAAGGGGGAAGAGTCCTTCCCAAATCTCCTAGCCTTTCCTTTCCTCCTCTCCAATGGATCCTGCTCTTCATGGCATTGGGAAATTAGAAGCAACCAAAAGAGGGGTGTCTGGGCTGCTGCCTTCAGTGGTGCCCTCCATCCAGTGTGCCGCACCCACATACGCACCTCACTTTTGTGTCCTGGGCCTTACCTCATCCCTGTCCTCCTTCCTCTCTCTCCTGGATCATTCTCTGGTACCCCATGCAAGCCTTCACACACACACACACACACACACACACACACACACACACACACACACCAGAGGAGCCAG